GATCGTGCTGCTGCTTTAACCCTTAAATCCCCAGGTGCTGTTCAGGGTCCAGGGATGAGTTTTACAGTTTGACTTTTTAGGTGAACAACAAAGTGTCTTTAATGTCTTGTCATCTGCAGCAGCAGCATTTTCTTATTTAAAGAGTGTAAACAGCTCCATATTCAAAGTAGATAGTGGCTGTATTTTCCAGTTTTGTCATGTATAAAAATATTTTGTCATGTGTTTTTGGGATTTGATACAAGCGTTTTTGTTTTTTCCAGCATCAGATGGGAGGTCTCGAAGGAAATATCAAAGAGCCCACGGCGCTTTTCCTTGTTTTCTGACTTATTTACAATGTCATAGCGGTGAATTCTCATCTTAGACGTGACCTAAAGCTAAAAGAATGCAGTGAGCATATGTTCTAGTATTTCTAGGCAGAAGCAACCGGGTTTGTATACGTCTCTCACACGGCTAGCACAGTTCTTGGCGGTTTGCAGTGCTGCAGTCAGCGTACACATACGTCACTCATGGCTCCTATTGTGCTGGGAGAGTACCTACCCTGACATGGGAGCTAAAGAAAGTCCCTCAAAACAACGTTCTAACAACTGTTATCATCCTCAGTTACTGCAGTGAAGACACACAGAGAAGGGGGTACGTTGACCAACAGGTCTAAGAACTGTGATAAGGTTCCTCCGGTGTGAAAGCACCTACAGCATTGTTGACTATTAAGGACATAGTAAAGTGGTGTTGGCTCAACCGTACAGCTAAATGTGTTGCTCAGGCACATATGAACGTTACACAGGGCATTGTTACTGGCCTGTGTATTTTGGAGGAAGTTTCTTCATCAGGCTTCAGGTCGAAGCGTTTCCACACTGACTCAGGGCAGATTGTGTTTTGAATTACAGACATGAACACACAGTAAAATCTTCAGGTCAATTTTATTTGTGCTCTGCCAAATCGCAACAACTACAACATGATTCGCTTTATTATCGTCATAAGTCACTGGTCATTCATGTGAGAGAAGGTTAATGCTTCCACCGTTATTTAAGGCAGTAAATGAATTAATTGCAATCCTTGAAGTATTCAGAGGGGTCCTCTTCTTTGAGCTGCTGCAGAAAGACTTGGTTCATCCTGCAAAGAGAAAAGATCAACATTACCTGAGGGTTTTTACATGTTCATTAAACTGACTGTATCAATGTAATGACAGTAATTCTGGATTTAAAGGCATTGAACAGGCAGATTATTAAAGGCACAACAGGCAACTGAATAGATAAAAACATAACTTACATTCTTAGTCTCAACATTTTTTCGTTCTCGCTGATGTCATTACTGTGGAAATATA